CTGTTCTGTCTGGGAGCTGAATGGGAACAAAGGGCACCCTTTGTCGGAAGGCAGAGAGGAAGAAGAGAGCTTGTCATTTATTTTTCTTTTTGTAACATTTATGTGGAAGAGGCTTGCAATGTATAGTTCATTTGCACTTATTTGTTGAAAAACTGCAGATGCGTTAAAGGTGGAACTGATAACTTGAAAAAATACTGCTTTGAAGAATGTTACTTTTTTAAATGCAAAAGAAATCTGTTGGGAGAGGTGATTTCTGAAGTATAAAGTAATTGCAGCAGTGCAAGTTTCATTTCTGAGTGGACAGTCTGAGAGTGGTACAATCTACCCTTACTCATGGGCTTCATTACTTTAAATCTTGCATTTGAGCTTAACTATTGAAGAGGTGTTAGCAGTTCTCAAAGGTATTGTAAGCACGAGGAGGAAAGAATGAATGAGGGGTTTTGGCCTGTTCTGTATGGCCAGAATAGATAGTCATGGTGCTCTTAATCCATGGATGATAAATGTAATTCAAAAGATTTGGAATCTAAGTTAAAAGGATGAGGGACTTCAAGGTTGAATGGGCAGGTAGAAAATGTAGGAAAAGAATTAGGAAAGGCTGGCACTGTTCAGAGCGCAACTGCAAGGAGTCTGTGGTAATGCGAAAGAACGGCAGGGAGTAAGGCAGTACTGGTTTAAATTATAAGCCGAATATAAATACTGGTTTTAATAAAAGAGGATTGAATTTAAACTTTAATTCTCAATCTAAATAACATATTGGGGCAAATGAAGCACAGAGGAGGTTGGGAGGATGTAATGGGTTGCTTTCCTATAGAAGCCTGTAGCTCGATGGGTTAAACCACTGTGCTGTGGCATGCCTGAAGCTGTTACCCTCTCTGTCTTCTGCTGGAGCTCCATATGACTCGGTGTGGCATTGAGGAGCATTCATTGGTGGTGTGAAGGTTGACTACCATCCTCTGCTGGCAGCGGGGTTTGTCTTTGGCTGCGGTTTAGCTTAGAGTACCTTCATTCCACTGCAGGCAATGCTTGTCTCGCAGAACAGAAGGTGTTGAACAGTGCTTGTGCTGCATTATTTCCTTGTGGGAAGAGAGAAATTTATTTTTAATAACAAATTAAAAGCAAAAAAAAAAGGTTTTTTGATTGGATAGTGTTTTGTTCGATCTTTGCTCTGACAAAATTACTATTATGTTGCTTTATTCCAGTGGAAAGGGACTACCTGGCGTAATCTTTGTGAAAGTAAATAATCTTTGAGCAAACTGTGAATCTTAAACATCCCCTCAGGACTCTTAAAAATCAGAGAATCTCAGACACAGAGTACCATGGAAGGTCCAGTGACAAAGTTAGCATAAAGCCCAAAGACAGTAAGTACAGTAAGAACTTCAGAAATAGCGCTTTGGGCTGTATTTTTCTAGTGAAGCTTCTGATCTTTGGTTTGCATTTTCCAGTACTAGGCTGGTTTATATTAAAGATGATAACAATATTTGTGCTTTTTCTTGGTGTTTTCCCGAGTATTAAGCAGTTGAAACAGTTGTTATCTTTCAAAATTGTTTTTGTTAATGCCCAGAGATTCTTCTTTACATATGTTCTGGTGTGATTCATAGTGTCTGCCATGCATTTTTTAGTCTGTATTTTAGTAGTGCTTAAATCAATCAGAAGACTGAAACTGAATTATAATAAAAGTAGAGCAACACCAAAAATCCAGTGATTTCTGAATTTTGGACTTTCAAAAGTCACCTAGATTATTTTCTATTAGCGAATTTTAAACATGACAGTGAAGATTAATTGTTTTACTGTTTGTTTTTAAACTCTGTGGTTATTTCCTCTAGGAATCCTGCTAACAGGATTCTGTTTGCCTGAAAATGATGTCTGGTTTTATCAGCATCTGTCAGAGTAAATCAGAATTTCTATGGAAATTAGCTCATTAGTATTAATTTTTGGCAATGTCAGAGTGAGTCACGAACTGCCTTGCCATTAAAAAAAACCCTGTTATTGAAAGCAAAGCCTTCCATAAAGTTACTAATGACTAATCCTTCAGTGAACATAGGCTTCAAATAACAGCAATGAAGCAGTGGATGCCCCTTGTCTCCTGACAGTCCCTGCTCCTGCTGGAACCCCAGGGCTGCCGG